TGTGTATTCTGTTGTGCTGAGAAGTGTTATGTATATAGGTCTATTGATGTCATCAATTTACTACGTTGTTCAAGTCCTCTATTTCCTTATACATCTTGTCCAATTGTTTCATCCACATTTGAGAGTAGGATATTGAAGTATCCAACTATTACAATAGCATAGGCTTTGATCTAATTTGATGGTCTGTTATTATTGCTGTATCTTGCTATATTCAAACTTTTATTAATATGAAATATCCTGGTCATTTGTAGCCTTTTACGATTCATCCTATTTTGTCTTACATTAGGATAGTCATCCTTGCTCTTTTGGTTACTATAATGTGCATATTATATTCTTTTTCACCATTACACTTTGAACTTATTTTTCCTTGGGTCTAAAAGTAAATTTCCTATAAACCCCATATAGTTGGATCATGTTTATTTTTAATCAATTATGCTAATTTCTGCCTTTTGATTGGAGACTTTAATTGATTTACAAGGACAGTACTTACTAATTAAGTAGGAATTTGCTTTATTTTGCTATTTGCAATGTTGCTTTTCTGTCTTTCATTTCCTGCATTACTTTTCTGTGTTTAACTGATTTTTATAGTAAAACATGTAAATTACTTTCTCCTTTCCTCTTTATATACACATTTTAAGACATTTTCTTTGTGATTACCATGGAGTTTACATTCATGTCCTAAAGTTACGGCAATCTATTCCAGCTTAACTTCAATAATGTACACAAATTCTCCTTTAATAGCTGTTACCCTTTCAGGTATTGATGTAACAAAATTTATACACTGTGTCCAAAACATAAACTAATACTTTTAATGAAAACATTGAGCTACAAACCAAAGATATAACAACACTAGTTTTTAGACTAATATTTGCATTTTTAAAATGTCTCTCAAATCACATAGAAAACAGTGGAGTTACCTATATCACCATAATTACAACACCAACATTTGTAATTTGTATATATATCAGAGATCTTTATTACTTCATATGACTTCATGTTACTATCTAGCATCCTTTTATTTTAACCTTCTTTTCCAATTTTTTTCCAGGGAACCTCTAGTAGGAATGAACTTCCTCAGCCTTTGTTTGTGTGAATGTCTTCAACTTTTCCTTCAAGTTTAAAGGACACTTTCACCAAATATAAGGATCTTAGTTTAAAGTTTGTTTCTTTCTTTTTGCACTTCAAATATAACAGTCTACTGCTTTCTATTTCCAGTTTCTAATGAGAAATCTGATAATTTTATTGAGGATCCTTTGTCTCGGATGAGTCACCTCCCTGTTGTTGTCAAGCCTGTCTTTATTTATTTTTTTTCAGTCCGGCAGTAATGCAGACTGAACCAAGGGCCTTTGCATAGAACTACAGGCCTACCCCCTTTTTTATTTTTGAGACAAGGACACTAAGTTGATAAGCTTCCCATACTGGGCTCAAACTTGTGGTCCTCCTGACTCAGACTCCCAGAGTGCTGGGATTACAAGTGTGCACCACCATGCCCAGTTGTCTTTGTCCTTTGATGGTTTTTATCATGGTTCTGCCTTTTTCTGTTTCAAACCATTTGGAATTAAATTTTTAGGATACTTACATTCATATCTTCCATACAATTTGGAATTTTTTTTGTAATTTTTCTTTCAATATTCTCACTGGTTCTCCTTTTAAGAGTCCCACAATACATACAGTAATTCATTTTGATAGTGTCCAATCAGTGCCTTACCTCAGTCTTTCTTCTTAATATTCTTCAGGTCTGATAATCTGCCTTGTATGTTCAAGTTCACTAATTCCTCTGCCTACACAACTCTGTTCTTGAATCCATCTAGTGGAACTTTCATTATCCCTTTCAGAAAAACTTTAGTATCTTTTAAATTATTTTTATTGTAATTTCTATTTTGTCCACTGTCTTAGTTACTTTTCTCTTGTTGCTGAGACAAAAATACCTGACACCCAAAGTCAAAGCGGAAAAGGTGTATTTAGCAGTTTGTAGAGGTGTCAGTACATAATCAGCTGGCTCCGAGGCAGGGTGGCACATGGCAGAGGGGCAACACTTCATGGCAATGGAAGACAGCAAAAACAACGAGAGAGACAGAGAGAAAGAAAGAGGCAGAGACAGAGAGATAGAGACAGAAAAAGAGAGAGAGAGAAAGAGAGAAAGAGAGAGAGAAAGAGAGAGAGAGAGAGAGAGAGAGAGAGAGAGAGAGAGGTGCCTCTTCCTGTTCCTTATATTGTATCCATTCTACCAGGATTAGGACAGTGCCAATCCAATCAGTGGACTACTCCAGCAATCACCCACTCTTAATCCCATCATCTTCAATCCCAACATTAAACTATGAATCAATCACACACCCTTGATTCAGCCACCTCCTAAAACACACTATGACCCCATGAGGCTCTGGCGGGACATTTAGACACAAGCCGTAACACCCATATATAGTTTTCTTGACTCTCTCCATGTCTTCCTTAGTTCTTTGAGTAACTTTAGCTGTTTTAGTCTTTATCTAGTAGGTCCACCACCATTTACAGGAATTTTGTTTTCTTTCTCCCTGTGACCTTCACTTCCTGTTTCTTTGTATGTCTTGGGTGTGCACTGGTCTATGAAAACATGCACAGCTGCCAAGAGCTGGGATGGCAGGTGGGTAGCTATTCCTGTGATAATAGCTGAAGTCTGCTTATTAATTTTGGTTATTGAGCAACATTCATTGCTATTGAGCAAAATTTATATCCAATCTGTCCCTGAAAGTTGCACAACTTTAGTAGACGAGTTGTAAGCACTTGTATCATACAGATTTGGCCCATGCCACTGGCTCTTTAGGTGGAGAGACAGATTTCTGGCCCTTTCTACTCTGTCCTTTGCCTAGAATTGCCTTTCGAGACTGACATTTTAATTGTATTCCTTATGGTTGATGCAGTTGAGGAGATAGTGAGCAAGTTAGGTAGAGATGTGAAAGATATTTTTAGAAAACAAGTCAGATTTTAGAAATTAAAAACTACAATGTCTGAGATGAAGAAACTACAATGCAAGTGATTAAAAGCACAGTAGAAGTTGCATAGAAAAGGCCAGTGAACTTAGAAGACAGCAATGGAAGTGACCCAAAGCTTGAAATAACCTAATCTTCATGAAACTGCAGTCTCCCAAGGGGATGAGGTAGGGGCCCGGAAGTGGAAGAGAAGAAGGAAGGAAGGAAGGGAAGCAGGCAGGCAGACAAGCAATAATGACTGAAAGATTTCTAGATGTAAGAAAAACTAATCTCACAGTTCTGAAAAACTCAATGAACAGTGAAACAAGAAAAAAACTATACAAAAGCAGAGTGTAATCAGATGACCTAACACCATCGAAGAGAACAGATCTTCACTCTGGCACCAGCAGCTGATGCCATAGCAGGAGGTGATTCTACTTTACAGCTTTACTCCTTCATTTTCAGAGTGGACACCATTGCTGTCCCTCAGAGATCCACGACAGTGGCCATAATCCCTTCCTCAAGGGTCCACGTCCCAGCTGTACCGGGGCCTTTCTCTTTGAAAGCTTCCTCTTTGGGTCCACGTCCCCAGATCCCAGCACCCTCCTCCCAGGCTTCTAAACCACAAACTTTCTCTCTGCTCCCTGTTCCTAGGAGTGGATCAGGTTCCTAGTATCAAATTTGTGGTGTCTCAGTATTCTCTTTTTTGCCTATTTAACCAATAATTTATATTAAATACTGTTACATGTTTTTTATATAACAGAGAAGGATGATTATACCATGTCAGAAAAGATCATAAACTTTTCATTTTCACTGTTGCATGGAATTTCAAATACATATGCAAAAGAAGCTAAGGAATCAGAAATTGGAATGGGTTGGGTACTGATTCTTCTCTCAGCTTTAAATTTACTCCTTTATTCTCACCTTTGAGATTGTGGCCTTTACCAGATGGACGCCTGGCAGGATCTGTCCAATGCATGTGCTCCAGGTAGATAGAAGGCTGGGGGTGGGGGGTGGGTCTTCATGCCCATTTTAACTCCTGTTCCCACCAATATCACCTAATGTTGGGTCTTCGCCAAATGTTCCCCAGGAGCACTAGTTGGCTCCAGTCAGGACTTCGTTTTTCTTCATGCTACCAAAGGCCTCAGAAGTTCACATCCCAGCACCGTGAAGTTTTCTGAATTACTTTCTAAATTCATCTATTCTTTCCTGAATTCCTGAGGTAAGACCACCGCTTAGGCTGTGCCCCTTTCTCACAGGTTTGTTTGCCAACGTTCTTTACCCAAGTTTTCCAGGTACTACTGACCAAACTCCTCAGATGTCTAGATCCAAACCAGTGCTTCTCCTTCAAGGTTTTCATTCCATTCATTCCTTCTCTGGGCTCCCACTTCCCCAAGTGCGGTAACTGCTTTCTGCAAGTACCATGATTTTGATACATTTCTTTGCTATTTTATAACATGAAGATATAAACGACATTAATTCTCTTATTATCAGATATGCCACTTCGCACACAGCTTCTCTTAATGTTTTCATCTTATTTTCTTTGTCTTATTCCTATGTGGTCAGAGATTTTCAATAAGGGCTTAACTATAAATATGTGTCAGTGCTTGGGAAATGTAAAAAAGTTAAAATAAATCTTTTATCATCACAGTGTTTGCTCTAATTTATCCTAGGGGGCTTGTGATGGAGTGACAGATCTCATGTTCTTCATCCTCTGGGGAAACACGGCATCTAAGAAGCTACATCTCTTGCTCTATAAAAATACAACTCACAGAGTTATTGTAGAGATGTAGTAAAGCGCTTATGTAGAAGTATTTAGTAACTGCATTTTATATGTTAAATAAATGTTCACTACTGTTACCAAACTTGAGTAGATGGTAGCAGGAAAAGATGAAAAAATAAAGAGGCCTAGAGAGGAAAAAACAATTGAAAAGATTACACTAGAAGAGTTTCTACCCACTTAGAAAAAGCCTGGAGTGTAGTTTTATTTTCAAGTGGACCTCTATTTCTTCCCACTGCATTTGATCCTAATCCTCAGTATATAAAGCAGGCATCTTTTTTGCCAATGAGACAAAAGCCATTTATTAACATACAGCAAATACTGTTTATTGCAGACCTTCCCACTGACTCATGTGAAAAAGGCACTATGAAAAAATTAATGAATCTAGATAATCTCTCTAAATGGATTTATGTTAAAATATACAACATTCTTACATAACATCTGCTTTATATAGGCGAAATAAGATAACATTTAATGACAAAAATTGTGTTTCAAAAAATAACATTTGTTGAGGGTTAAGTATCTTTCTTTTCTTTATCTAGACTCTTTCACAGGATTAAAGTACATGTAAATTAAGTGCTTCTTATTACCAGGAAGATTTGACACAGATAAACACATACAATGGCCCCAATATCCTTTTAACTACTTAGCTCAATATTCATAACTGAGGCCTTCATTAAGCAAAATACTGCAGTGCACACCAACACGGGCTATGTCCTTGGACAGATTCTGAGTGCGTATGACCTTTCCACTTGTGCTTTCCATGTATAAGAACACAGTATATATAATAGGCAGAAGAGAAACTCAATCAAAATACAAGCTATGCAAGGAACTGGAATCAACAGAGCGATGACAAAGAAAATGTCTTGGGAGTGTATCACAGGTGTACGTTTGCACATCCAAGCCCTAGCTATACTTTACAGTTCATTCAAATGTTTCAAAACTGTTGGCATTAAGAACTTTACATCAATCTATCACTGAGTATGTCAGAGGAGAAACCTAAGCAAGCAGAAGCTGGCCTATGTGAGCCGAATGACAGACACTATGGTTACAGAAAACTGAAGTTGTTGACATTTTGAATCATAGACAGTATCTTTGTTTTGCTGCAGTAAAAAAATTCACTGCTGTCGAAAAAAAAAAAAAAAAAAAACAGCCCACCCCCCCTCAATCAACTCCTACTTATACAATGAGATGGGATTAAATAATCAATAAAGAAACCTCACCTCGGTAAAGTAGAAAAAAAAATTTCCAAAGGTCAAAATATTCAGCCTGAGATTTTTCAGCTTTAATAAAAGTAAGGGGCCCAGAAACCAGTCCTCTGCTTACTCAGGAATGAATTATTTTATGGCGATAAATTACGTAGACCAACAAAAATGAATCTGATCTCCCCTTCAAGGCTTCTTAAAACAGAGCATGTTGGAATAATGCCAAGAATAATGGAGTTGAGAAACAAATACACGACAAATTAGTGACTGCTTCCTTCATCAAAAGATTCCACTCCTGAATCACTAGCAGCAGCACTGATTTTTTCCTGTCGTCTTCGCATAATTTCTTGCAATTCCGAGCTGCCGTTGCTATCCTAGAAAACAAACATGGTTCGGACAGGATGGTTACTGGTTTGCGCCAACAGCGGGTCATGTAATGAAAAGACTCAGAGCACCAGTCCCCTGTGGTTTTCTTCCATTATTTCCCCAGGAAAAGTAACACCTTCCCTTCATGTAAGTGAAGCTTCTGGACTTTATGAACATATGATAACTAATAACTACGCATTTTATAAAATTTCTTGAGGCAATTCAACCACCATGCCTTCCCATCTACTCTACAGCAGATCAACAGTGCATGTGGAGTGCTCTAGATTCCTTGAAAGAGTAGATGTATATAAATAAGAAAAGCAACACGATAACTTTTCAAACACTCTTCTGATCAAGGAAGATACTCATCTTTGTTCAGGAGATTTAAAAACGGGCCAAACAGTGGGCTCAGAAAGCCAAGTTTCCCTTCAGATATCTCTGATCTGATCACACTAGCTTTTCTTACTTCCCAGCCCTAACATCCCCAGGAGCTTTTCCTTATTCTCTCATCTACAGAAGTTCCTGACAACACAGGTCAGAAATCAGGAAGATGAACCTGACCTAAGCAGAGGGTGGAGGGGGGCAAGTGGGAACATGAAGACCCTCCAGCAGCCAGCCTCTGCCTCAGATCACACAGAGCGCTGGCAGCGAGGGATCACAAGGAAGTAAACAGCAAGTGACAATGACACATGGTTCACAGGAGTGAACAGACTCAGCTAGAATAAACCAATTCAGAAATTTTAAGAATATGGAACTCTGTAGCACAACTTTAAGAAGTAATTTATGTACTGCTAACAAAATTACAATGTATAACGGTAACAAAATTTCTTGAGAAACTATATAATCCTTATGCATACTCAACATACAGAAAACAATCATCAAACCCTTCTATTAAATCACCAAGATCAATTTTGTAGGAAAAACTTCCAACAGAAATACAATTTCTCTTGATTGAGAAAGGTTACAGAATTATATGCATGAGGCTATTCTACCCTATTTAACTATTGAATTTATATACCTGCTAGAGATAATTATGTATCAATTTCATGCCCACACCTATATCCTTTCATTTGAATCCAAGTATAATTTTCATGCAACTGTTAACAGCTGGGGGATGTAACGACTGGAAACCACTACCTATACTTGTCTATTGGAAGGACAGCAGGCTAGGGGAAGCTTAAGCATATCCAATTGGGAAAACATTACTCTCCTGCTTTCATACAGACAACTATGACAAAATACTCTTCAGGGTTCTCTATTTTCAACGATCCCTAATATTCCTCCTGAGATTATTTAATGTATTACTAGATACACAGCCAGGATTTTAAAACTTTATAACTCATCTTACTAAAATCTCCAAACTAGATATTAAGAATTGGCAAAAGAACTCTTGCATCTTAAGGCATTCACTCAGATGTGCATTTCCTTTATTTTGTCAAAATTTAAATTCTTATGTGGCAGCGTTAACACACATGAAATGAGCACATTGTGATTTTTATTAAATGTCCCAAAGTATATGCTCAAGCTCCATGATATGAACATTTATAATAAATTAATTTTCTTCCAAATGGTCACTGATGGTCTCCAGTGACAAATTTATCAAAGTGGAGTCAAATTTAATTCAGATCTGGAACAAAGGGGAACTGGCCAAAGCAGACAAGAACAACTGTTTGCTGAGTTGTTACTTTGTGTTCCCTACTCTCGCCTACTGCAGGAAACCACCACCCTAGGCTGCCGATTCCTACCTCCAGCGCAGCTTTTTGCACGGTGATTTGGCTAAACACTCTGGCCCCTTCAGGGCACACGGTCCTCAGTTCATCTTTGTTGAGAGAGAAAAGTTGTGCACCATTTAACACTCCAAGACTGTTGACCGTCCTGAAAAAAAAATAAGGAAAAAAGAACTCAGAGCATTAAAAATATTGCCCAGAAAAAAACAATAAAACAGAAAATTTTCTGGTTTGGCTCATAACCTCTCTTTTTTTAATGTGCTCCATGCATAGGAATGCTTATCAAATGCCGTTAATGTGGTTATAGAGTTAATATGGTAACAAGTGACTATCACAAAGTTGGCCCTGAGGCTCCTTTTTCACAATCATGGTTATAAAGCACCAGAAGACAGCTGGGGTGCATTCCATTATCAATTCCTTGAAATATGGCCTCTTATGGAAAGTAGCGTTTTCTATTTGTCTGGCAACTGGTTAGCCACTGCCTCTCTTTTTTTAAATCATGTTGGGTAAATGAATTTATAGTATGTCAACATTCCTAGAATATGTACAATTCAAATAGTACACTGTACCAAATACACAGAAAATGTTTATAGACATTTAGATTATAAATAGGACTCTATCATGGACTTACTAAAGGAAAAGTTCTACTAAGATTATAATTGATGATAGGCAAAGTTACTTGCTTTTTATTGACCTGAGACACCCTATTAGCAGGAGAAGAGCTTATATATCATCTTACATGATCTGAGGAGTCCTGTTAAGAGTAACTACCCAGTGTACCCTGATGAGGATGAAGGCGAGCTACCAGGCCTTGCAACTGCCGACAGCTGCCTGAGGAACCAATAATGAAGAGACTACCGCAGAATAAACAGTGGTATCATATGAGTTATTCCCGCATCTTCCAATCTTTTTAAGCTAAGAATAGCTGAGTCTCTTCCCAAGTATGGAAGAGAAGCCCACAACATAGTCTGGGCTCCAGTATTTTTAAGAGTTATCTGTGACTTGTAAATGACCTAGCAAGAAATAAGGCGCGCTCCTCACATGGACCCCCAAAGTGACAGCAGAGACTTACACAGGGTTGAACCCCTTTGACTGCAGCCATGCCTTCACGTCCTCTGGTGTGGAGTCATACGTGATATTGATGACTGGCACATTCTGCCGTGGCATCTGGAACTTCTTCTGCGCGGCGCTCCGCCCAATGGTCAGCCTGTGGATGAGCTCGTCCTGTACCTCCTCCATCTGAGACTTCCGTCCTGGAGACCAGCAGGGAGCAGGTCATGCTTGAAAATCTTTACCACAACACTGCTCCCGAACCCCAATCCCAGTGAGCCTTCAGCCTAACAATGCTCACAACCTAGGCTTCCCTCCATCTTCCCCCACTTTTATCCCATCCAGGATACCAGGTTAAATAAGCCCTTTCTTACCAGGTACCAGGTTCACTCATCATCAATGCTTACAATGTCTTCCTGGCTCTTCTCTCTTATCTGGCAAAACCTTACCCAGGTTAATCTACCACACTTCTTATTCTGCACCTGCCCCTGTGCAGTGGAGGGTGACACAGCAGAGATGCATGAGCTGGCGTCACATTCATGACACGAGCTGCATCCAGGCTTTGTATGTTCCTTGACAATCGTGCTTTTCCTTAGGGCACTGGTTCTCAACTGGGGACAGTTTTGACGCCAGGGGACACTGACAATGTCTAGACACTTAGCTGTGATAGCTCAGAGATGTGAAGAGCTACCTCCAAGCCACAGGTGGAGTCCTGGGACCCATTGGCCTGCTCCCATAGTGAGGAGTAATCCAGACCCAACTGTTAAGATGCCCAGGTTAAGACTCATGTAATCATCTTCTAAGATGAGTATTCAATAGGCACACCTCCAACTCCATTCTGCAATCCTCTCAGGGTCTTACTTCCTAATTTCTGAATATCACGGTTCTCCTTCCTACCGGCACTTTCCCACACACTCTGCCCTCCCTCCCTACATTATAGATCACCCACTTTCATGCTCCGAAAGCCATCCTGTGCTTGCACCACACCCCAAGTTCTCTGCCTGTCCAAACAGTTTAGCAGTAACATCTCCCTTACTTATCCTGCATTATCAGACCCCCTCCTCATACTAAATCACTTCATTGGCATACAAATAAGCTAGAATTTAGTTTTTATTTATCTTTAAATAAGCCCTTTCTTACCAGGTACCATTCATCTCATGCTCCTTTGTCAGAAAACTCCAAGTTGTCTACATTAGCTGACTCCAATTCCTACTATCCCATTTTTTCATGGATTCACTAAATTCAATTCTCATTGCTTCTCTCTCCATCTCTCCACTGTTCTGCATTAAAACTCCAGGGGCCAATTCCTTCCCAATCGTTATCCCATTTAACTTTTTAGCACTGTTGAAGCAAGAGGTTCCTCGTGGAAACACTTTCTTCTTGGTGCCTCCAGGATGCCTCACCCCTCTGATTTCCTTACTATCTCACTGGTTACTCCTTCTTGGTATCCTGTTCTGACTCTGTTCTCATCTCTCAACTTAGTAATGGTGAGCTGCTCCAGGGCACAAACCTTGAGCCTCTTCCCTGCCTGCACTCAGGTCACAGAAGATCATTGTGCCTTGTCTCATGGTGATATAAAGGCTGACGACTACCAGACTATTCTTCCATTCCTATTACTCACAGCTCTAAATCCATCTATACTAACTGTCTGCTTGGCACATTTATTAAATATCTATTAGATGTCTGAAATATAGGTCAAATAAAAAATATCCAGACCTAAATTCTTGATCTTACTGAAAGTTTGCTTTTATGACATTTTTTTACATCCCAAAATAGTTACTGGTGAGTCTATCTTCCCAGTTCTGCTAAAATACTATGCAGCTATACGTGACTCCTCAGTGTATACAATGTATAATTCATGAGAAAACCCTATTAATTCTACCACCAAAATGTGCCCACAATCCGACCGCATCCTTCTGTGTTGTTTTTGTTGTTGCCATCGTTACCAGCTTGGTCGAGGCCGCCAGCCTATTTAACAGGTTTCTCTGCTCCTACTCTCTACCACGCCGCCCATTTCTCTGCATTCTCTTCTCAGTGTCACAACTACAGTGACCTTTTAAAATATAAGTCAGATGTTGCAGCTCTTCTGCTCCACACAGTCCCACATGACCCAAATAACTCACAAGGAAACATCCCATACGACCACCACCTCTTCAAGGTAACCACAGGACTCTGCTCCTGAGCCCCAAACTGTCTTTCAAATGTAAGGGCCATTCAACCTGTTTTGCTGGAATACTTCCCCCAAATAGCCATGTGACTCCCTCTTCCCCTCCCCTGACATTTAAAATTGCATCCCTTCCCCAGCAGTATTCTGTATCCACACAGCTATGTTATTCTCCAAGTCACTGACCACTTTCTAGTATTCTCTATGACTTTCATTGTTTATATAGCTGCTTCCATTAAAATAAAAGCATGAGTATGAGAAGGAGGCCTTATCTGCTTTGTTTGCTTCTATATCCCAGTACCTGGAACAAGGTAGTGACTAAACAAATACTCACTGAGAGACTGAGTGAGTGAGTGAGGCATTCTCTTGACTTTCTCACTGAGAGATCCCTTGAAAATTATCATGAACAAACCGCTTAAATAATCAAATAAGAAAATGGAGGCAAAAGCAGAGAAGTGATCTGTCAAAGCCACACTATTAATTACAAGTGGAATTTACCTAGCACTGGATGTACTAACTTCCAGCTCAGGGCTATTTTATGGTCAAAGTCATGGAAACAACTTTTAATAATCATACCTCCTATCCTACTCCCCTAGTTATTTTATGTTTATGGGAAAGAATGTATATATTTTAAAAAAATATGTATGCATATGCAAATACATTAAGGAATTTATATATCATTTTCAAGAACTAAGAACAAAGAACTAACACAGTAACACAATTAACTAATTAACTTGGAAAGCAGCAATAACCTGGTCACTAAGGGCGCATTCGTGACCACTGTCATGGCGCTGGTCTATGATTTTTATCTTCTTTTCAGGGCAAGTGTTTTAGAAAGTGTTTGATGTCTCTGGGAAATAAATGTGAAATAATCACTGGGCATTATTTCAGTCTCAAATTTTTTGGTGCCTCAAGTATTTAGGAAAACTTTTAAGGAAGAAGTCAAAAGAAGAAAAAAGAGAGAGAGGGGAAAGAAGGAAGGAAGGAAAGAGAAAGGGAAGGGGAAAGGGAGAGGGAAGGAGAAGAAAAAGGAGGAGAAGGAGGAAATATCAAAGAGATGAGACAAAATACTATTGCTATACTTAGTAACACAGTACCAGCATTTCATTGCTATATGCCATGTAGCATATGAATCTACGTCAAAGAAATAAAAATATAGCTACATGAAAGGATTTATATTCAGGTATTTACTTTCTTGTCCATCAACTCAGCCACCACACTGATGACCACAAGTCCACAACGCAGTCGTCTGTGGAGAATGAAAGCCTCTTTCTAATGTGCTGCTGGCTTCTGGTTTGCATTTTCAATGCCCTAGTACATAGCAACAAACCAGACTAACCTCGTACCTCTTTCTAAAATAACACTTCTGATTTACAAAAGATTAAATTCAAATAAAAGAACTAAATTTTTCAAAGAAATCAAAGAAATACAATGCACCTAGAGTGTTGGCCTCTTCAAAAGGTATTAAGAACCTTTCTGGATGCTGTAATAAGCCAGTGTGAACAGCTTGTAGGACACATAGCTCCAGGTAGCTAATCTGGATCGACCACACCGTCATACTGCAGCCAAAGGGGTCTTACTCTGGCTGAATGCTGTGCTTTAAAAGCAGATACATTGGCTTCTTGCCCCAACATGGGAGTGCATTACATTGCTATAAGTTTTCACTTTCTAGAATCTTCCATTTTATCAGAAGGTTAGGCAATAAGCAGAGAATGTACATAAAATGAACAGGCGCATGCTGAGAGCAATCTGACCCTCAATAAATACACATTTACATACTGCATATCTGTCTGGTCCTTAAAGACTTCTAGGAAGACCTAATGTTCATTCAGGGAAAAAAAAAAAATCTGTCCTCAAAAAAGTTCCATAAAGATATACTTTTTTTTTTTTTGGTTTTTCTCCGGAACCGGGAACCAAACTTACGACCTTGCGCTTGCCAGGCAGGCGCTTTGCCACTGAGCTAAATCTCCAGCCCCAAGATATACTTGTTTTAATAAAGATAAATTTGTTTGATGTCACTATAGTTTTGAGATATCTTACCAAGGAATTTCACATAAGTAATTGCAAGTTCTATTATTTTGAAGAAGCAAGTATATGTGTTAATTTGGGGAGAAATGTTCATGTTTTTTATACCCTTTCACAAAAAAAAAAAAACATTTGAAAACGATGAGTCACAATTATCAGGAGAATTCTCTATCTTAGAAGTATCCAAACTATGCCTCTTTCCCACTAGGTTATTCTTAGTTTCTTCCAGTAGGACAAAGAACAAACTGTTCCAACCCACAAGCTCTTCCAAATAGGGCCTAAAGGCCTCTGAACCCTGATTCCAGCCCTGAGAAAAAAGCACCACCGTGTCAAAGATGACTGTGCTGACGTATCAAGGAGGTAAATGTTACAAACTTGTGGGAAGAATGAAGAAACGAACAATATTTCCAACAGGAAAATTTCCCCTAGGGAAATTAATAAACTATTTATAGACCTTTCACATTTTAAAACTATTTTTAGGGTCTATGAAAAAAGATCTTTTCCCAAAAATCCACATATATTTTTAAAAACTTAGCAGCACTTTACCTTATTAGTTATTTGTAATTATACACACACACACACACACACACACACACTTGTTTCCACTGCAGTTAACTGCTTTTCTTAAAATTCTATTTGTTCTTCAGTTTTCTAGTGAGCTTAAAATATGAATAAGAAGGTTATTTCAGTAAACTACACCTTGGAGGAGAACCTAACATAGAAAAGTAGCCTTGTGTTCATTGTGTTTAACTAGAATTCTAGAACAGTTAAACGGTAAGAGTTTTAGGGTCTTCTTTTTCATTATTTTTAATTTAGCAAAAATGGTCATAATTAAATAGGCGCAACTATGACAGACTGAGATGAGAAAAGCAAGATGAAAATGAGAGTGATGCTTCAGGAATTAAGTTTTGAATGTGAATCTCAGGGTCAATCTCAGCTATGAAGATGTTCAACATGTGTATCTGGATGTCAGATATGAGATTTGGTACAAAGACCAACTTGGGAATTTCTGCATTTCCAACACTATAATTAGTATTGAAAGAAATGGGAAGATATTGATAACTTATAGCAATAGTACGTTTATATGGAAAAACAAAATGCAGAACCCTAGCAGAGGTTCACATTAGTAGAATTACATATAAACATTTTACACAAACACACATAATCACCCTTTATATACTTTATCCTATTGAGGATATACAAAATATCTTTCTGGCTCTAGGGCTTTAGGAGCTTTATATAACAAGCATAGGTAAAGCAAAGTAATTTAATAATATTTTATAAAAACCATAATTTGGACATTAAATTACACATACATCTGATTATTCCAAGAAAAGACAAAATAAAAGCTACTGTAGATTTTCTTCAGTTCTCAAAACATCTATACTTCTCTCGCTCAATGCTGACAAAGAAAATCCAAAGCTGGCCATGGTATCTTTTCTTTCAGTTTATTTAAATATGCTTTTCATTCTAATAAAAATCTAATAAAAAAACAAACTTAATTTATCAATATATAAAGTTGAAGTCTCAATCACATGAAATCTGAATTTCAAGGGTAAATGTGAGATTGCTGTTAGCTGGTGATTACACTCTGCTTGTGTGACAATGTGTGTATATTTCACAATAGCAAATAGGAGGGAGAGAAGCAGAAAAATGATGGTCACAGTGAAGACAATGATGACAGCAGCAGCAACTACTGACTGACTGCTTACCACGTGTCAGACATCACTCAAAAATCCATCAGTGTTTTTTGACTACCACCACTGACATTCTGGGCTGGACAGTACTGGTGTGGAGGCCATCCTGTGCAAAGTAGGATGATGCTTCACAGGTAACCTCTGCCCATTACATGTCCTAGCATACAACTGTGACAATCAAGAAGTGTCTCCAGGCAAACATCAAATGTCCCCAGAGAGAGGGAGAGGACAGCAAAATCAACCCGGGTTAAGTACCACCACATACCATGCCTACCCATGAAATTCCTTCTCTGCATTATCTCACTAACCTTCACACTGTTGCTATGAAGCAGATATCATTTCCGCCCCATTTTTCAGATGAAAAACACAGAGGATTAGTAAACTGTTGAAGGTCACATGGCCAATAAGTGATGTTTCCCTGTAAGAATTCCAATATGTCTGTCTCTCGAGTCAGCATTCAACCACCAGAATGTAACGGAACGTGTAGACATGCGTACATTAGAGAGCGGACTCTTTCCTGTTTTTTACAGGAATTACTTAGAGGATATAAAACTAGGTGAAATTTCCCGCAATCTAAGAGGTACCACGCAAGCTGTGAATGACTACTGTTTATATTCAATACTATTTCACACCAGCAGAATCAATAATAAGCAATATTTCATTTTGTCCCCATACTTTTTAAATGCAGAGGAAACTTGCCCCAGGAAACTTACGGTCCACTGGAAGCTGTTTGTGTCTCTGGCCATCCCTCACGATACTGCCTCCACTGTCACTGGAGCTGCTACTCTGACGAGTGATGTTTGCCGGGATCTTTGACATAGGGACAGGTGCTGGTACTGAAGGTGGAAGGGGGACAGGAAGAGGAGCTGGAGCTGGAGGAGGTGACGGGGCAGAAGGAGTATCAGCTGGTCTTGGACCATACTCCATCCTTTGTTTCTACAAAAAGACAAATAATTAACTTAAAATTTTAAATAATATAGAAACCTAGGTTAAGAAAACAAATTGTACACCAACAGGACATAGGTACTTATTTAAAAACTTATGTTACAAACCCATAACGAATTTATAAGTGTGTATATACACTCCCCCTGCACAAATCTCACCGTGTGGTATAATAATCATAAAAGTCATTTATAATCTAAAAAACATTCTCTGTATCTGTCCAACATCAGTATGTAAGTTTAGAGTAGCAAGCACATACCAAGAGCAGACAGTATAGGAAAACTGTCTGGACTTGGAGTCACGTAATACCAGCAGAGTCAAACAATATCTGATTATTTTATAATTTACCTTAGTAATAATTTCTAACAGCACCGGAAGTCAATAGCTCTAACCATCCCTTCTTTCATACGCATGCTATATGCAAAGGTTTTTAATTCTGTTGTTCCCAGGTTTTTGCTAATGGGGCAATATTCTAGTAAATAAAGGGCCTCTGCTTTAAGAGACAAATAATGTTAAAATGTTGCTCTTAAATTTTTGAAAGCACAACTCTTTCTGCCACCAAAAAATTGGGATGTGGTGGGGTACACGGTGGTGAGGCTGAAGCTTTAGGCTGGAAGGTAAACTCAGTGGCAGGATGCTTAGCTAACACGAACAACATCCTATATTCCATTCCTGTACTGTAGAAACAAAAAGATATGGTCTTAAATTAAATATTTAGGACTACAACTTACAAATGAACTAGAAAAAAAGGTGTATGTTTTAAAAAGCAGATGTGATAACATACGCAATGCTTTCAAATAATCATTCAATCATGTATTCTGCTGTTATAAAATATTTATGTATATTCTTTATAAAATGCACAAGCAAAGAACTTTAAATCTAAACAAAAGAATTGCAACTAATAGGTAACAGTATCGTAAGAGGCTCCAAATTCTCAAAAGGCACATTATCTTTATGGACTCAAAGACACAGACAGCAGTGACTCCTAACTCAGGTAAAGTTTAAGTGCTGCTCCAGCGCAATTGTAATTATTGTAAAATTAAGGTTTAGCATGTATCATGAAAAAATAAAAACCTTTTGGTAATCTGGTCCTTCGATTACAACAGTATTTACTTTTAACTCTAAATTGGCCCAAATATAAGATAGTATTGATTTTAAGAGAGTCCTCCCCAATTTCAACAGAGCTGAAAAACATAAAAATACACACCACGCACACGACATTTCTAAGTTAAATCATTACCCAAAACACAACACACCAACCTTCATCGTGTTGCTTTCACAGCAAGTGATTACCACTCGTGGAAGCCGCATGGGAAGGAGCCTCATTCTTTTTTGTTGTTTCTTAAAAAACTACTCAGCCAGTTGGGGGAAGAAGGTGAAAGGGATGTAACGTACAGAGGAAGGAGAACTGAAAGAGGAGTTTACAATGATGCTTGACATTGAGGGAGGACCAGGTCAGAGAGAGGCAGGGCAAGAGGAAGAGGATGGGGAGAAGGTAGTCTACCATGAAGTCAGAAGGGACAGAGACAGACTGCCAATTTGTCTCAATGCCTAGAAACATTTGTAACATATTCAGTAATATATTAGAACACGTTGCTATTACACTTCACAAAATAGTCTTCCTATATTTGGGCCAATAAATACTTAAGGAAATCAAAATACAGCAAACATCAAAATATACTTAGCACACACCAAAGTCACCTGACCCATACATATGCAATGTGGCTTTGACAGGAATATCCTTTGCACGTAATTTCATGAAGGGTTAACCAATTCTCACATTAGTGTTGCAAAAGTCTCAGAGTTTGTTGTTAAAGCATAAAAAATGCTACAAGCTCTGCATTCTGTGATATGGTTCATAATTTCTGACTTCATAAAAACAAGAACAGATAGTGTTTTGCTATCCATCAAATAACACTGCTCAAAACTGAATGCACTGCGTGTTATTGTCGCAGGGAAGCATGAAGGCAGCCTCACCAGATGCCTGGTGCCTCCCTTCACTCATCTGTTCCTGCTATATAATGCGACCTTATCAGTAGGACTTCACAGAGCGATAGGTTTTAAAAAAATAAAATGCATATGAGAATTTCCATACCCATATGAAAAATTTTCATCACTCATGGCATAAATTGTGTTTACTTGCATATTTTTTTCTTTTTTGTTAGTCACTCCTCCTGCCTCCTTCTTCCAATCATGGGAAGTGAGAAAAAGTACCGTCCCTGACCCACTACAGCCGATCCTGAGAAGGCTACAAGGGCAGCCTTTCTGAATCTTCATGTGGAGGAGACTGAACCAGTACTGACTGTGGACAACACTCTTCTATGTCCTTCCCTGTCCTCTCCACTCCTGTTTACCTACTGCCCATCTTCTGCCCTTTCCTTCATTACTTCTGCCTCTTGGCCATCTCGGGTTGGAGATATGTAATGGCTCCCTCATACCCTCAATTTATGGGATGTCTTGGAGCCTTTTCCTCCTGCACCAAAGCGCTGAAGCTCCAATCAAGAAATCCTAGCCAACTCTTCCCAGTTTGCCTGGGACTTTCCCAGTAAATTGCATTGAAAATGCCTCATTCCCACAAATCCCTCAACTGTGGGCAAATGAGCAGTTTGATCAACCAGATATGGGTCACTTTTGCACTGTAACGGTCGATTCCTAACTCTGACCCCTTATCGCTCACAAATAAAAAGTTCTATCCATAGTAATAAGTGTTTTTGTCTCTCTCTAAAATAACTCATAATTCCTAGACCTCATAGGAAATTGACTTTCCTATCGATGACTAAGTTGGATTGAATTACTTTTTCTTAGCAACTAAAGCTGAGTAAAACATTTCAGGGTTACACAGAGTTATTGAAAGCTAATCTCCTGATTTATGCAAGATACTGCTTCAGAGGGGAAATTACACAAGTAAGCCCAACAATGCCATTAAAATTAAATTGTTCTTAAAAATTTTAACCTACTCTGAGTTACACATTTGTCTCTAAATTTAGTCTCTCTGGAACTCTGCAATAAAAACTAAGTACAGCTGGAACATTTGGAGCGTGTTAAGTCCAGAGATTGAATCCAAAAAATTATATTAAAAAGAATTGCCAGGAGGAAGCAAGTGTGGGTTACCTCGGACAGCTCGCCAAGTAATTGCTAATAGGAAAATGGAGCAAATCACATTAAATGAGAAAATTAAAACGGAATATGGAAATAAAATAACATCAGTTTCAATTTACATAAAATATCAGAAAACATGAGCAAATAGGTTTTTAACAGCAAAATTACCCACCCAGAAGTCAACCAGTAAAAGAGCTTGTAAATTTATAATTAATTTCTATCACTCTTACCTAGATTTCTAAAACCAATCAGATAGATTACAATACAGGAGAAACAGCATAGAGTATTTTGGCTACAACTATTTGAGTCTTGAAGTATTATGTTAAAATGTTATCATTTTAGGTCCATTTTCTCACATTTTATAAAGAATGTAATTAGGGTCCATTAAATGTAAATGTACTGCTTTTTTAAACAGCTTATTTTACAAAAGGGGCTATATATGCATGGCATGATTCTAGTGGGCTTTGAATTTGAACTTGAAAGCAGTCTAAAAGAATATTTTTATAACTGTGTGCATTTGTATGCTAGGCAGTGATTATATACTTTAGGGTGGTTGCTATTCAAGTTTTCACAAAAAAAGTTTGGGAAAATGTCAATGCAGGAGGTAGAAAAAAGTGTCCATTCTCGAGGTCGAATATACAGAGATAGAGAATAAAACAGTGTTTACCAGGGGTCCCTGCTGAGGTACTAGAGAGAGGAAAAAGGTAGATGAAAGTTGTATGATAGAAAGCAAATATGTAGGCTGAACAGTAGAAAGATCTAATATACAACATGAGTGCATCTTGTATTCAGAAGTTTTCCCAAATGAGTAGATTATAGCTGCTCTTACCATGCGATGAGAATCATGTGGGATGACGGCTAAGTTATCTCACTACTGCACATTTTACTACACTGTATGTGCCATCATGTTGTATACCTTACACATAATAGGACTTAACCACCCCAAAAAAAGAACTGTCCTGTATAAAAACCCTGCCTCTCATTAATGAGCAGTCTTCTTAGATTCATTTCTAAAATACAAATTTTAAAGGGCTGAATATTATCAGCAAGTTGGCCTGGCTGTAAGAATATGAAGGAATAATTAGCAAAACTCTCACAGCATAGGCAACTGAGCAAGACCCTGTCTCAAAACAATATTTAAAAATTCAAAAAAGGCTGCAGATGTACTAGGTCGATACAAATGCCCTGGGTTCAATCCCCAGTACTTCAAAAAGAGAGAGATAGGGGGCTGGGGATTTAGCTCAGCGGCAAAGTGCCTGCCTGGCAAGCGCAAAGTCATGAGTTCAATTCCCGGTACCGGAAGAAAAAGGAAAAAAAAAAAAAAAGAGAGAGAGAGAGAGATCACTCTGTCTCTGTCCAGCACATTTGCATGTCTGGTCTGAGCTTGAAGCAAGCACAACATGGGCTGAAGTTAGTAGTGTCAGTGGTTTAACGGTCACCTCTAGAAAATACTTCCACCTTTCAATTAGGGTTATTTAAACATGCATACAGAGGATGAGAGAATTTTGTATCTAGAGTGGATTACAGACATCATGTAACTAGAATCCTTCTATTTGACAGCCAAACAAATTGGAACACAGAATGATACAATGCTGTCTTTAAGGCCATGCAGTTGGCTAGCGGCAGAACCAGGATTAGAATCTTCATCTCCCAATGCATAGGTGGGGCTTCTCCCATAGAATCATAATTGGGAGGGAACAGATAACATGGAAAACTTTGTGTTGAATTCACAAGACCACAAAGACTGGATATTCATAACTATTTGTGTCTTGGTACAGTAAAAATAACTGTAACAATAATAAACACATTCACTTAATATTTAATAATAAATGAAAGACGTCTTTAGGCCGTTGGGTGTATCAGAAATAATAGCAAGGATGAAGTGGTTTCTGCTGCTGGAACACAGTGTGAAAATCTCTGCGGGCAGAGGGTATTTCTCGTGATTAACTATCATGGTGCTAGAAGCCTAAGAATCAAGTCAAAAGAAATAGAGAAGGCTATGTAGTAAGTAGATTGTAAGTAGAGAGAACACACCCCAAATGTCTATTGCCTGGCTCTTCAACAATTTCTTTTCCTCCTTCTTCTTTTTTTTTTTTTTTTCTGGTACTGACATGAACCCAGGGCCTTTGCACTGAGCTACATCCCCAGCTTTTCTCTAATTTTAAATTGTAAGACATGGTCTTTCTAAGTCACTAACTTGTCCAGGCTGGGCTTGATTTCCTGCTTCAGCCACCCAGAGCACTTGGCATTATAAGTATGTGCCACTGTGCAAGGCTAACAATTTTTTTAATCAAAAGATATCATTCCCAAAAATTGTTCCAAAGCTTTAGTTCATTTTCCTTTTGGTTTCATTTAATTTTTTTTTAAAAAAATGTTCCATATCTCTTATAAGTTCTTTACCACCTTCCTCTCCTCTATTTTTAAAACTTGTTAAACCATGAGGGAACCCACTAGGTGGGAATATTTGTCTTTAGTGAGCTGTTAAAAATCACTCCAAATGTGAGGATACTAAATAGCCTGGGCTCTCAGGGACATCAGATGACAATTCAACAACACCTAGTCACTGCTGGTGCCAGGTAGGAGAACCCCTGCCGTCTGGAAGAATTTCTGAGCAAAATGTGTAAACAGTTGGCCAGGGTTGCACTTATGCCCTTTGTCCAGGGACTGCCAGGATCCGGATGTAATTCTTCTTTCCGGGAAATGTAAATGGATGAAAACCAGAGCTACTGCTCTGTCCACTTTAAAAATACTTGGTAACTTACAGAAGTTATGTGGAAATAGTTTACATCTCATTCCTCTATTTTTACTATGTACACAATGTCCACTTTTTAAGTGAGTCATGTAATTTGGACTATTTTCCTAAATGATAAAACATGAAAGAATAGGTGAGATGCAAGAAATGCATCCATGAGGCAAGAATTTAACTCTAAAAATTATAGCTGATCAGATATGACAGAACTGCTCTCAGCCAAGGTAAAGCTCTTCATAGAAAAGGTTTAATCATTCATACAGTAAAAACCGAAATGTTTATACAAAAAGAAGTAAGTTTTTTAAAACCCTATTCCCTAGAAGAGTAGAGTTCATCAATGGACAAGTTCTAAATCCAGAGGTTGTTATCTCTTCCTCTTGTAGTTTTCCCCTAACAAGTATGTAGTGACCTTCTTTATCTCTTTTGATTGCTCTTGGTTTGAAGTTGACATTGTCTGCAAACAGAAGAGCTACCCCTGATTTTTTCTGGGTTCCTGTTGCATGGAGAATTGTTTTCCATCCTTTGACTTTCAGTCTATGGATTTCCTTTTGAGTTAAATGTGTTTCTTGTAGGCAGCATATTGTTGGATTTTGTTTCTTGATCCACTCTGCCAGTCTGCTTCTTTTGATTGGTAAATTGAGGTCTAAATCTAGAGGGCTGGGCCCCCTCCTCGTTTCATGTAGTTGTCTCATCGTGGGCAAGTTATACCCCTGGTTCCTAAGCTGCCTGTGTGAAATTTTCCTGTGTCACAAGGTTGCCATGAGAATTACATGAATTAGTATTTGTGATGGGCTAGAAGAATGCCTGACACAGCTCGAGACTGACCACAGGCATCATCTCCTTGGGAGTGCAAGGTCACTGCTATCTGTGAGTGGGCAGCCAGTTTCAGTAGTGAATCGTTAGGCATCTGCCTGAAGTGTATGAACTACTGCAATCTGAACATGTTTGGTGAGGGAAGTTTTTGTGTATGTCTTCAAAATTCTGGTATCAGTGGATGGAGGAGACAGGTGAGAGAGAGCAAAGGGCATGGGTTGTATCTGAAGAGAAAAGAGAAGGTTATGACAGCAGCACAAAGGATAAGGAGGAGCTATAGTGGATGACTTGGGGACTTAATGCCCTACAGTAGATTTTTAGGGAGGATGCTATGCTTTCTACAGCTCTGTCAACTAAGTGCAAGATGCTGGTACTCAATAAATATTTGTGTGATGTGTGAATGAAAAGATGAATAAGGCATGAATTGTAACCCAATTCAGCTTTATAAAGTGAGGCTATTGGGAGGCTATATCTGCATAAATATGGTGGTATCTTTACTGTCATTCTGAACTAAGAGGCAGGAGTGTTCTTTAGATATTTTAGATAAAGGTATCTATAACACTATTATAGACATACAAAAATGGTCAGCATATATTTCCAAGAATGTTTTCTTTTCCATCCTACCCTGCTATTTTTTTTTTAAATGTTATGTTTTGAGAGCAGGAATCCTTTTAGAGTAGGATTTGTGCCAGATAGCAGATAGCAGATTGTCAAGCTTACTTATTAAAATTTTGTAAGATCTTGGTGATTTTGTTGGGCTCAGCCCAAAGTTTTCAAGAGGTGTTAAAAAGCAGATTGTTTGTTAATAACTTTTAAAAGTAGGGCTTTCAATCTAAATACCACACATAAACACATACACACACACACACACACACACACACACACAGCTGCTAACCACATTTCTACATATATCACTGCATTCATAGTTGCATAGAGAAATTTTCAGAAAACAATGAAACAATGTTGAATAGTTTAAAAGAAAGTAGCCAAACTAGACCATCCTCAAAAGGACCACAAGTTTCCATTTACACAGAATAGCAAAACAATCTCCTGAAACTTGTGAGTACTCAAAAAAAAATTCTTGGTTGTGCTAAAGTTGACAAAAAGGTAAGATGAGGATCTGTAAGAGAAATGGTGAACAGATTTTACGTTCTCCAAAATTATTCTCTTTCTGCCTGTGATCATGTAGTAATTGTTTTGGTTCCATTTTAGACAGATGCGAGCTTTAAACAGAAAAATCAACTTATAGCTCAAGCCAAGAATTAGAATTGTATAAAAAAAAGACTGAATAGTAAATGCAAAAAGGGAAGAGAGACCAGGTTCTTATTTAGGAAACTTCAGTAAAGGAAACTACTTAGAATTTATGTTATTTGTAAGTTTAAGTATCTATTTTTTTTCTTAGTTTTTGCCTATTCCTAGAAACTACACACATAGGCAAAAGCATACATTTATTATTATTTTTAACTCATGGCTTCTGCTCATACATGGCATTATTTACCATGGTGTTTTTATATCCTTTGTCAATAATGCTTATTTACAACTTCAGATGGGTTAAATATTAAAAGCAAGCCATATATCGCAAGGATGTACAGCACACATTCTGTCACTGTTTAAGGGTAAGGCCAAAACCTTTATAGGAAAGAAAATGAAGAGCTGGCATTCATGAAGCAGACTGTAACCTACAGTTTATGAGGTCAAATGCAGAAAGTAGGGACTTAAGAAAGAAAAAGTAGAAAACCTAACTTAGAAAATAATTTCACTTCAAAACTTCATGGGAAATAGAGCAGGTCATACCTTGAATAACTCAAACTCCTTCTTTGGCATCAATAGCTAATGACAAATGATGAACATAAAATAAGTACATAGTATACATGCATGTCAGACCCAGCAAAACATAACCACAACAAACAGAATTTCTGTTGCCATCACCTTAGGTTATCACGATGAGGAAACTAAGACACTGATTATTTTAAATGTTTGCTTGGCCTATGGACTCTAACAAGGCCAATCCTTCTGGCCAAGAGCAGGATCTCCATCGAGCCCCAGCATCATGAGGAGTCAGCAACTTACCATGGCAGCAGGAGTCTGACCACAATTCTAGGTCTGAACAATCTAGTGTTTTCCAAGCCCAGACCTGGCATAAAAATTAACCTTTTACTATATATTCTATGTAGCCTCTACATGAATCCATTACATTATCAAGGGGTCAGCAGTGATCTTTTTCTCAAGGCTCTGGAAATGGAAAGATTTCTTCCAGGGGAATGAGAAGGCATCCAGGTTCACGGGCCGTACACACTTGAGTCCACCCGTTCTGACTTTGAGGTCTCACTGTAGAGTGCACATATCAGGTCTGAAATCCCAAGGGCTTATTAATGGTAAGTGAACTCAGTTGTCACAGCAAATGAGATGACCAGGGTCAATGAAAGTGAAAGTGTAGGGCTGGGGATTTAGCTCAGCGGCAAAAGCGCCTGCCTGGCAAGTGCAAGGTCGTGAGTTCGGTTCCTGGTACCAGAGAAAAACCAAAAACAAAAACAAAAACAAAAAAAAAAAGAAAGTGAAAGTGTGGTGTGAACCTACAGAAGTATTCCATGATCAAAGAGGGAGAGCCTGATCTAGCAAATCCATGTAATAAATATATTTCAACCTTAAATTCAAGAGAGGAAAAATATTATAATCCAGCTACCTAAATACTCCAGCAGTAGCATGACATGAGCCCCAATTCAAATGTTCAGTGGCAGAACATTCAAGACACTCTTAAGGCAAAGCTGATAAAACATGCATTGCAGAACATCCCTGTTACCATCACACTGCCACCTTCTGTCTTGGGGGAGTTGACCAGGGCCCAGGGTACTATGGGTAAAGAGACGAGTATGCTATTTCTGACAATGTCAGAAATGTTAGGGGGAAAAAAGCATTCAGAGAAACAGTTACTTAGTGCTAGACATTCTGAACAATTTCTTGAAGTAAATCAGGAAATATATGGATGATTCTTCACTATGTCTCTCACCACTGTCTCCAATTGCAAGACCAATTAAGTCACCAAGTGATTGATATGCAAAAGTTATTTAAGTCCTGCTTATGAGTGATGAGTCTGAAAATCAGTGAATATGAAGTTTTGCTAAGAAACTGTGGTCACCTGGATGGTGTGTGTGTAAGGCGGATCAGCACGCCCAAGTCCAGACTCTGGAGGTCTCACGATGTCCAGAATGTTATTTGGCACAAACCCAGAGTCTCCGCTTGCGTTTCGAACTTTCCACCACTGCTTCCTATCATCAAGTATCTGCGGGAAAAGAAAGGCATCGTTTCCATAAGAAAACCCGTCTATGAAGGAAGCTCATTTGCATTTGTAGACTTCAATAATTTTTTTTTTTATTTCTGATGAGTGAATATAGCATCAATGTATTTTTGATTAAATGACTCCCAGAAATTATGCTAAGAATTGCATGTTCTAGTATAGAATAGACATAACCACAGTGAATCTGCCCAATGTCCCTGCTAACTCTCCAAGCCATTTCTCCATTATTTGAGGTACACACGCGGCCACTAAAATGACCCCCTTAGAAAGTCATATTGTTTCTATTTGTGGAATGGAAAAATGTAAAAATCATTTTTCTAACAAAATGTACTCAATCATTCATCTTATATATTAGTGTAAGATGAACTCTTAGGTATAACCTAAGACAGAGACTTGGGTGTCATCGTTAACTATTCCTAATGCCATTAGCTCACAGAATGCTGGATACAGTTCATAAGGATAATAGAGGAAAAAAGGAGGTTTTTTCTAAAATTAGGATATTGCGGTGTGTCTACATCTGAATTGACAACTAGCCTGGATTCCGAAATGAATAAAGCACAGAAAAGGGAAGACAACACTATAAGCCAAGAAATCCATCTCCCTTTCCTACACATTCAATATAGCTTCTCCCTGTGCCCATGATGCTATTACAGGGTCAGATTAATTAATAAAGCAGCTATTCCTTCTAAATTGTTATGGTTGATACACTGTGTCAACCTGGGGAGTCTAGAGGTTTGGCTAAGTGACTCAGCAGGAAGCCAGGGTGCTTACTTTGTATACATCCTGAGCCTGTGGAAGAGGAGGGCATGGAGATTATGTGAGAGCTACACGCCCCTTAGGTGGGGGTAGCCTGTTTACAGAGTAAGGCAGGGAAAGAAGCTGCCTGCCGCCATTCCTCCCGTTTGCTCTGGCTGCTTTGCTGTTCGGCTGCCATTCCCCGCTTTTGCTCTTGTTGCTTTGCTATCTTCCGCCTCAGAGCCAGCCAAGTATGGACTGAAACCTCCACAAACTGTAAGCTAAATATACCTTTCCTTCCTTCATTTTGGGCGTTGGGTACTTTGTCTCAGCAACGAGAGAAACGTAACCAAGACACCCATATACTGTGTTCTTAGTCATAATATAAAGAATGATTTATTGACCTCAGCATTTCTTTTGGGAAGGTACAGCAAGAGTAATAAACTAGACTCATTTTGTTAAGTAGAGAAAATAGGTAAAATTGTGTTACCTCCAAAATATCGTCCTTTAGAACTGAGAGCTCACTGTTATTCCTTGCCATAAAGTCATACTTGGATTTGGCATATTTCTTGGGTTGTGCTTTGAGTGGGTCATAATTTCTATAAAAATAAAGAAGATTATCATTCTGCCAGCTCTTTCGACAGGCTGAATACTAAAGCAAAACATTAAGGCCAGCCAAGTCTTCTCAGAACACTTTCGGACAAATTAGATGATAGTTTAGTTTTATTATGGTTTACAGAATATGACAAATACAAAGAACTCCAGAGTCTGTACTACTAAAAAGAACAGACTAAGGCGAAGGCAAAAATAAATTACAGAAAATCACAAGGCTGGCTACTACTGAGCCAGGTCCAGAATCCAAACCCATGAACTCCAGCTGTTAAATACCCATATTGCATATTGTTTCATTAAGCATCATCTCTACTATGAAATAATAAGGATAAATATTATTTTTTTCATAAAAGAAAAGGAGACCTAAGATAATTTCCATAGTAGTAATTTATTTTCTGTGTTGATTTTATTAATTCAAGCAATGTCTGTGAACCAAATAAATATATTTTTTTAAATATGACTAGGTGTCAACTTATAGGAAAGTCCTACCCAGTTATATAAATTGCACAGGAAGGTGTGCATTAAGGACAAGACAGGTAATATCTTGAAATATATAAGTAAATGAAAAATTTAATTCACTACAAACTTTTGAAAATACTAAGAATAGATATAGTCCTATTTTCTTGAAAATGAACACTTTTTAATGAAACAATTATCAGGCTAGGGGGATAGCTCAACCGTAGGACACTCGACTAGTGTGACTGAGGCCCTCAGTTTGATCCCCACAAACAAAGCAAAACATAAACAAAAGAAAACCCGAATACCCCTTCTAATTACTAAACTAGCATTAGAAGATTTAATAATATAATTAAAAATTACTTTTATATATAATGATATAATATTTTCTTCATCTGTTGGATAATAAATTATTTCAACCTTTGTGTATTAATTTTACTCCCTAATATCCTGCATTTACAGCTCTACATTTATTCACAATCTCTACAAGGGAAAGAAAACAAATAGACTGAAAATGCTTGGCATCCTTGCACTGCCAACTAGTCATTCTTCTCACAGCCTACCATGCTCTGAGGGGTCCTAAGCTCCACTAGGGTCTGTGGGAGAACAACCGTGGTATCTATCATCTATAGTATCACTTACAGACATTCCCTTACAGATATCCCTTAGAGATTTTTGACATCTCTTAGACAGCAACTTCACTGGAGAAGGGGACAGGAGGGAGGACCAAAGACGATCTGTGCTACCTATTAGCTATTTCTGGTATATTAAAAAAACAGAAAAATGAAATTATGTCTACTAATTATTGTCTACCAGTAAAGCAAATTTAAAACCCATGTTCAGTGCATCCCCTATCTTTACTGTAATTGTTCTGGGTTTATCTTAACATATTTATATAAATAAATAATTTATATGTTTACATATAAATATATATTTACATATACAGTGGTACCTCAATTCACGAATGCTTTTTTTTAAAAACAATTTCGTTCACAAACAAGCATTTGGGAAAATGTTATTTTTGTGTGCATACTCTACATCAGGCGGCAAACACGACTGCGGCCATCCTTCCTGCATGAACAGGAACGTGGCCATTTTTTCCAAAATCATAGAACAAACTAAGCTTGTGGATTGAGGCACCACTGTAAATTACACATAATTTACATAGGTATACAAATTCATTTATATGAATATTTATATATTTTATTTTTATATATTTACATTATATTAAGATTCATTTAAGCAATTTAAACATCTCCAAAGTTAGAAAACAGCAATTTCAGTTCCCTTTCTCTTTTCCCCCACGCTCTTGTCTTCAATGGTCTGGAAAATAATTATGTGTAGTACTAGAGAGCTGAGTGCAGTATACGATAACAAAGAGTAGGGTGAGTGACTCCCTACCACTGTGTATCTGCATCTCTGAGTTAACACTTTGTGGCAGCTGTCTTTGAAGTCTTTGCCCTCTTGCATGCTATCCAAGCATTTACCTAGTGTATAACTGTACAGTGTTTTAGCATTTACAGATGCATGTGGTTTACAATCAGTTTTTTATCCTCTGTAGATTAAGCCTGGACATGACACTGATTGCAGCTATCAGAGGAAAATTATAACCTGCAATTTTTCAGATATATCAAAGTTTCCTAAGAAATCTAGAATGCATCAAAACAGATGGTCTGTTTCTGATTTGAAATAATAGATATGTGACTTGATATAAACCAGATGCAGAGACAGCAAAAATCTAAGACTATCTCTAAAAGCCTAATTGTATCTGAATAGCAGTAAACTATAACCTTTCAAACGTGAGGGCTCTAAATTCCACAAATGCCATGGTGATTTCATTGAATAATGAATATATTTCATAGAGTACCTACATAATCTCTGTCATATTACAGAGATCAAAATAAATAGTAAGAATTATAAAAGCAAATTCCAAACCTCTCTGTATTTGATATTCTACCAGAACTTTCAGATAACTTTTCCAATACTGACAAATTTTCTTAGCAACTCAAAACATTAATGACCCAAATATCAACTATTCCAGCTCCTACTAAACCCAGCTGAGTGATGGGATCCATCAGGGAACCTGAGACATACACTCTGCTCACTACTCATCATAGTGCTTAAAAATTCTTTCTTTTTTGACCACTGTAAGTCTACTGTCCCTTCAAGGGATTTTCTGCACTATATTCTACTTAAATTCCCTGTTTATTAAAGATTACTAAAAAGAGCTTCACAAAGTTCAAAACAGCCTTGTCTGAATTTGGGGAAAAGTGTGGATAAGAAACACATTAGTGTACTCAAGCCAGGCATGTTGGTGCATGTCTCTAACTTCTGTACGGTAGGAGGTTCAGGCAGGAAGGCTGCAAGTGTGAGCCCAGCATGGGCAACTTAGCTATCTCATGTCTCAAAACAAAACAAAAAATAAACCAATAAAAAGGACTGCAGCTGTAGCTCAGAGCCAAGGCCCTAGGTTTAATTCCCAGTATCATCAAAAAAAAAGTGTCCTTCACATCATTGCTCCCATCCCATATAATGTTCCCTGAGAGAAGTATTTTTCAGACTTTAGTAGTAGGTAAAGCACTACTTATCCTGATGATCTGATACACACTTTTTTCCTCTAAGGATAGCAAATGATTATATGTCTGTTTTTTTCTGACAGCCAGGAATCTCAAAGACAAACCTGAAATTCAATCCTAATATCAACCTTTCTACTTGACAAATGTTATTTCTTATCCTAACTCTAAATTTCTTAATTTTATATTTTATTTCAAAATTAAAGTTTTTATAAAAACACTACCTTACCTGCATATAATTTAAGTGAGCTGCCTAACCACATTTTGAAAGTTGATAGGGTACTAAATCACAACTAAGTCAGTAAAACAAAGGTACACTTCTGCAATATTCTACAAAGACTATAAAGATCAAGATAAACTTTTAAAAGACATCATGATAAGCTGCACCAAATAAATGTCAGGGGTTATTCTATCAGTAATACTACACCTTACAGATTTGCAAGTGGTCATGGCAGTAGTGACAGAAATGTTGGATACACTATCACACTACCTCGCACTTCTTTAGTCATTCAACTGATCAAATGCATTTACTGAGTGATCACAATGTGCTATAAGTGGCCTTAAAATAGAATATGTTAAGTTTTCTACTATCAAAGTATACGGTAACACTGAACACATAGCAAGTGTAGTTAAGTGGTTTTCTGACTGTGGAAAACATCCTGACATATTGGAGTGACAGAACAAAAAGAAAAGGTAGAATTACTAATCTGAAATAATCACTAGAATACTGAGATTTAAGATAGAAGAAAAGGGGCCAGGGATATAGCTCTGCAGCACAGAAGGTCCTAAGTTTGATTCTTGGTACCAAAAAAAAAAAAAAAAAAAAAAAAAGATGGAAGGAAAGAAAGAGGAAAATATAGAATGAGTAGTGAGTCGATCATGAATTTCAGTGAAATAATGTTTAAGCTCTAAAACTGACCTTCACCCATATCTACTAAAATTAATTATATAAGTATTTACACAGTGGCATTTTCAAAACACGTTATTCAAAGCTGACTTTTCTGTCATTTTAGTTAATTTTATTAGTGCCCTTAGAGCAATACCTGTATAATTTTCACACCAAGCATCATTTCTTTTGTTGCATCTGACAAAAAAAAAGTGAATCGCCCCATCCTCAGATTATAGCCAGAAAAGAATATACTAAAAATAAAGGCCATGCAACACTCATGGTGGGAGAAGCTTGAGATCGGAAAGTCCTAGGACAAGTTCCCTACTCAGCTTCACCTGAGCCGCTGTCCCACAACCCTGCTTCCAGTTGCTCACTTCTTTTTCTCTCTCTTTTGCCCTTGGGCTGATCTTCACGCAAACCTCTTGTTGCAAAACAAGACCAAAAAAAAGTGAACCCATTTGAGTTCCTTTATTTCTTTTCCATCTCTAGTCTTCATCTCTGACTACATTACATTTTAGAGATAAAAATATAGGAAAATAAAACATATAAAGCTGTGCAGTAAAGATAAAATATAACAAAATGAAAAGACAAGGTGGCCAGGCATGTAAACATTCAGTTACATCAAGTTCAAATACTTCTATCTAAAGGAAGGTTGGTTTGTTTTTGTTGGAAAGAGAAACATGAAAATTGCTTCCTTTAAAAGTTACAGAGCTGGAAAGCTCTTTCAGGCCCATCTGGTGTAAACTAATAAAAAAAAAGTTTTAAGATAGTTCTTTCTTTTTAAGATTCACAGATTTTTGTCAGAAGTATCTCTTTTAAAAAGGGAAAGTCATCCAAAGGCATTTGTGCTAAGGGAGTTATAGACTGGAGGTCCAGACATCTTTTGTTCTTCAAAGCCCATTCTGTAAAAGAAAAACTGAAACTTTATCAAATCATGAAAAGACAAAACTTTGAAAGAAGTAGCAGACAATGGGACACTGTTACCCTGTTAGCTGTAAGTTACAGACAGCTACTCGTTGCTCTCCAGATGGTGCCCCTTAAATGTGGATGGTGCCTCTTAAATGTTACCTTTCTGCATGGCGATTAGGAGTTGGCTTAAAAGCAGCAGCGGTATCCACTTGGTCCAGATGGGGCCCTCTCGTGTAGATGTTGTTATTGAATGCATAGGCATCGGCTGGAGGGTACTCTGATACACTGGAATGCTAAAAGACAGCGAAGGGAGGATTAAAGAACCCCCAAGCCCAGTTACAGAAGCACCAAAAAAGCTTGGGAGGAGCGCTCACAGTCAACAAGAATTCTCCACTAAATATGAATGGTTTTCATTTTCAAATGATTGCCCATTATGTTATTAAGTTATGCAACAGAGGTGGTAATCCTTTGGTTAGAAAATCCTACATAAGAAAAGTAATTAGTGCAAAGGCCAAGTCTTAATTCTAAAAATAGCCAGGTATAAAAGCAGTAACTTCCTTCATGAGAAATTTCAGGAATAGATGATTTAGTATCGGACAGACTTTATAACACCAATATAAAGTAAAATTGGTGGTAGGAAGAAAAACCCTTTAACCTTTGCTCCTTATGTTTAAGAAAAACACTTATAGCACCATAGTAAAGGAAATATTATCACCTGAGAATCCTTTGAACTCTATGCATTAGACTTACAGTAAGTCATTTTTCTCATTTTCAAACTTTACACAGAACATCATCTACAATTTTTATAAATGGCAGCACTATTATCAGATAGACTGTTACAGAAAGGACAAAAAGCCACAAATACACTGATTTTGATAGCAAAGCGTCCAGGACAAGGTAATGTTGGAATCATGTCTTCTCTACAGTTAACACAATAGAGACGTGGATCTATGGGTGCTACTGAGACAAGGGGCTGAGATTTGTGGGTTCTTTGAGCACCACGGTTTCAAAGCTATCACAGCCAAGTGCTCATATTGGGAGAAAAACAAACAAAAATGTCACCTACAGAATTCACATGACTTCCTTACATAAAATGAACTACAGGAAAAGGTTAGTAGATGCTGCAACATTTGAATTCCTTGGTATTTCAGTTGTTTATGAATTCCTTAGGGTAAGATGTTTAAAATTGGAGAAGTTTCAGAAAAGGCTTGGCTAGATAGCTACTATAGCTCATCGTAATGAGAAAGCTGGCAGAAAGAGGGCTGAATCAATCCAGACAGAGTAGAGGGTGTGGCCCCGACAACCCAGTGTAGATGACAAATTACTCATGTTACACTATTCCCCGGGAATGTTCAGCACGATGCTATACTGCCCTTTCCACACAAACACAAATAGACAATTTTCAGCCATTTAAATATCTGAGCTCATTTAATTCAGTTTACCGTTTACCTTGGAGTGAACACACACTCAATTTGATTAGACAATTTGCTTATTACAGTGTGTTCCAAAGGGGGCCAAGAAACTACGTGAGTCACTCCCACCTTTTACCTAGTTCTGAACACAGCCCAGCGAGGTCAGCCACTGTGAAATCACTGGGTCCTAAGGGTGACAGGGAGCTCGGGAAGCGAGGGGAGCGACAATGCAGATGACTAACTGTGACGACTACTCAGCCTTGCTGAGGGCTGCTGCCAGTTCTGGGGAAGTCAGGACAGGGAGTACAGCCACCCACATCTCTCACTACGTGTCACCTTGCCTCTCAATTCTGAATCAAATCACCTGATCCTGACTTACCCATGTCTTGTCTTAAATGTATTTATTATAGTAGCAATAAAATATAATAAAGTCTCTCTTGTAGGGATGATTATATTTTTCATGCATTTTAAATCACCACTAGTTGGCCTCTTTTCCAACAAAATCTCAGGGTTTAAAATCCCCTAGAATGGCTAGCAGGAGTTTTTCATTTCATTTTTTTTACACCTCTGAATAATAACCACTTTCACCATTAAATGGAAAACAGTTTCCAGCAGGAAAATGAGCACTCATTACAAGAAAGGATTCTCAATCATTCCTCTTCTAAAACTACTTATTCAGTGAGACTGGACAAACATATTCTGGAAGCCTGGAACACAGTTCTTTCTCTTTAGATACACAAATTGAAAAAGAACGCACAAAAGTAAACTTCTGAGGCATACATTATAAAGCAGGCATTTTTAAATTTAAGATATGAATACTGTAAACAGGAAATTTTTATGACTTGAAAGTACCTGTAACTTAGCAACAGCAAATATAATTTCATGATTGATTACATTTTTTTTTTTAGAGAGCACCTTTTTAGAAAAGGTGCTCTCTAAATGGGAAGAAAATTCATAGTGATGAGGTATGAACTACAAAGCACAGTCAAGGACATACCCTCACCAACCCGTGCTCAGGGTGGTGAGATCATTTTAATTACACACTGAGAGGGAAGGGCACCTGTGGATGCCACCTCTTCCCCTCCACATGGCCACAGAAAGAATTATGCTAGGAAAGAAAATTCAGAGTAATATGTTGGCTCTTTTAAACTCAGGATTTAACAAATTTGCTATATTATTGTCTCAAGAACAGTGCCTCAAGGGACCAATTTTAAGAAATTTGATTTACATAAATGCTTCTTAAAAGTGGCCACAGGATGTATCTGCTATGGTTTTACTAAGTCATTCCTTCATATCACGTTTGCCACATTACCAATACCTGCGGCAACAGGAGAAAATGAATTTAAAGAATTAAATAAAAGGAACAAATAGAACTTTAGGAGCATAATTTACTATTCCTTTTTCAAACCAGATCTCATTTATCTAATTCCTCAGCTTCTGATTATCCAATTTGCACTTGGTTCTGCTTTAATTGGTGTTCAGTTTTCTTTTCCAATGGGATAAAAAAGAGGCATGAAAAGTCATTTTTAGGGAATATGACAAGATACTATACTAAATTCTATTATTTGAATTTGCTCACAAAATTAGTTATACTGTAAACTTTAATAAATATTTCAAAGGTACAATATATTTTATGATTTTTTTGAGGTATAATTTGAGGCTGAAGATGAGTTCAGAAAAAGCTTTTGGTCCTCCAGCCAGGCTGAGAAGACTCCAGAAGTTTAGAACAAGACAAAGAAGAAGAAGGAAGAGGCGGAGGAGGAAGAGGAAGAGGAGGAAGAGGAGAAGGAGGAGGAGGAAGAGGAAGAGGAGGAAGAGGAGAAGGAGGAGGAGGAAGAGGAAGAGGAGGAAGAGGAGAAGAAGAAGGAGGAGGAGGAAGAGGAGAAGTAGAAAAGGGAAGGAAGAGGAGGAGTAGCAAGAAAAGAAGAGCAAGGGAGAGAAAAGGGAAGGGAGGGCAGGAGGAAAGGAAAAAGGAATGGCAGGGAGTGGAGATGAGAGAAAGGGAGGGGAAGGGAAGAAACAGGTGAGAGAGAAAAATGGAGGGAAAGGCAACAAGGAGAAGACAAGCGGGAGGCATCAGAGTGTTTAGGAAAGTTCCCTGGGGAAGACTTAGAGGATATAGATTCAGAGAACTATCTGGAAAGTAGAGAAAACAGGAAGAAACAAGCCAAGGGGTAGTAGGACAAGTCTCGGCCAAGGAGAAAAAGAAATATACAAAAAGGCTGAAGTTCCAGGTCAGGGAAGGCAGACCACCTGCTTCAGAATAGCACAGGCTGTGGGTGGAGAACAGGAGTAATTGTCACAAACACGACAAAGAGGGAAGAGACAGGTGGCTCAGGGCAGCAGGAGAGGGTGACATTAAATCACTGGTTCTAGGAAAAGCTTCAGGTCACTGAGAACCCACAATCCCGATGAGAGGAGAATGCCCATGATTGCACGACCGAAAAGAGAGGATGTGAAGCAACTTTACCTCTGTGGACGATCTCTTCGTGTCCTGCTTGCGCTGATGCCCTGCCACGTTTGCCACGGACTCAGCCAGGTGATACAGGTCTTGTTCCTTCGGTGCTCCCAGGAAGTTCAGCATCGGGGGCTCCCAGCCATTGCGGAACCGGGGTACATAAGGTGGAATAAACTGTTCTTTTGGCCACTCCGCTCTGTAGGTTGTGTGAATAATAAAGTTACCTGTGTTCACAACTGTCTTCAGTAAGGCCGGCCATTAAAAAAAGAATAGTAACGCCACTAAAAAACAACACATGCCTCATCTGCCCTCTGTTTGCGGAAAACACGTTTACAAATACATTTCACACCGGTAAAATGTAAGAGATTCAATTCTGCAGTAGGACCTGTTCTCACTACTTGGCCTCAGGTCGTCATCAAATCCAATTTTTATACGGGGTTTTCTTACCATCTGTGTGGGACAGAAGGACGGTAAGTATGGAAAGCACAGCTTCTCCGGGACCTAAAGTAGCTTCAGATTCTGACTTTTCCCTGTGCTATGCTCAAATCATTATAAAACCTCCCAATATTAACAGATATCATTCAAAAGGGAAACCAGCGGTCGTATTATTAAGGTTCATTTTGTAAGTTTTAAAGTTCCCTTAAATGGAACAGATGACCGATCTTATAAATTAAATGTATCAACTCAGTTTTAATCAGCCAACTAATCTGTAATCACAATCACTACCTATTCATCCCTGAATGCCTGAGACAGACACTTCCACAGGCGTCTCATTGCTCATGAACCACAGCAATCGCTATGGCAGGAACTAAGGCCTCCCTCTTGCTATGCAGTATGCTGCTTCGCCTTTCATACATAGTTATATTTCTACTATGATGAGAGGAACTGTTCTATGCAAATTATGATGCTACCTTGATGGTTCTTTTCCTTTTTAATATATTTTTAAATCAGTACATTCATTTCCTCATATTCTCCATCAGGATCTGAAACGACCTTTTTCTCATGTGGACAACTAACAATATAATTCCTTTTGAGGTAGTTTTTTTAAATGGTTGCTAATTCTAGTATTTTAAGGTAGGACCCAAAACAAAGTAACTAAAGATCCTAAGGTACTTTTAATTATTCTGTGAGACTAGACAAATTTAATAATCCTAATGGAAAAAGTTATATCCCACCCCATCTTATCATAGTCATAATCTGCATAAATCTAACAAATTTAAGAAATCAGTTTAGCATATAGCACATAAAAAAGTATGACAGAGTACAAAGTATGATACATTGATAAATGAACAATATACATAAGTAAATGTCTGTACTATTTTCAATATGAAAGACAACTACAGTGCTTTTATAGAATTTTTGGCTTAAACACAAGCCGTTGGCAAAGCTCAAAGTCTAAGTCAAAATGTTTTGTATGTGTTTCAACAGAAGAAAAACAGCAATAGAAAGTACATGAATTAGCCTATACCTTTTAAATTAGCCCATCCGAAAGTCTTAGGAACACATAATTCTCTAGGTGACTAAGTGATTACGCTCAGTGATTTACTCTAAATAGCGAAATAAAATATCTGAGTAAATGAACAGGCTGAAATTACTTATTCGCCTACAAAATTAGAAATATTTTATAACTTGCCTCGCTAGTTAAGTGTCAGCCCCGCACTTACTATAATTTGTCTTTCTCAATCACTTCATTGACAAGTAACACAATTCTAAAAACTAGCCACTCTTCTTTGCCAATGCCAGCGTGACTGTTCTAGCCTGGTGAATGCTGATTAATAGGGAAGCCTCTATTACAGCATTAACATCCCAAAAAGCGTCACTGCTCCAGTTACTTTTGTCTGTGCCATGCTGGACCCAGCTACCCAGTGATCCTTTAAAGCGTGACCTACTATCCTCAAAGCTGCTGGATCTCTGCAGCACAGCCAGCCAGGCTTCCACTCCTCAGCACTGCCAGGGAAGCCCTCAGAGCCCAGCTCACGTCTCTCTACTGTGTCCTTGGACACCACTCCTCTCTTTGCCACACGCATTCTCTACCCAAAGCTCCCACGCCGGCTAAACTCCCATCACACTCTCTTCTTTGGATTTTCCCATTCATACCCTCACTTGTGTTTTTCTTTCTCTACTAGGAAGGCCCTCTCCCTGCTAAGTATTTGTTGAAATCCTATTCAACCTGCAGAAAGGCAGCTTAGCAAAAGAATTAGGAACACTGACTTGAGGGCCAACTGGCCTGGTTTCATGTCCCTGCTCTGTTATTTGTAAGTCATGTGACTTTGGAGAAAATACTTAACCTCTCTGGGCTTCGCTCTCTTCCTCTGTAAAATAAGTAATAATAGTACCTCTTGG